CTTAGATGGATATATAGATAGATAATGAAAAGACTTAGATAGATAGATAGATAGATAGATAGATAGATAGATAGATATGAAAAGAATGAGATAGATAGATAGATTGTTGCAGTTGGATTCATCGTTCTCATCATTACACCTTGTTTTGCAAATCGCACTGAAACTTTAATGAGAGTCAACGTACAATATTGATTCCTATATACACAATATGTGTAAGTACAACCGCTCTCTCTCTCTCTCACACACACACACACACTTATTGTTCACTGTTCCTTTTAAACAATATATGTGTTTATGTGAGATATATATATATATATATATATATATATATATATATATATATATGATTTGTCTCCAACGGTACAAAGCAAGGTTGCGTCCCTTGCTCCTCTTCTCTTTGCACTTGTCTTTTCTACTATGTTTGAAAAAACATTCTCTGACGTAAGTGAAGGGGTCAGTGTTGAATTCTGAACAAATGGAGGTCTATACAATCAGCAACGTTTTAAATCATAATCGAAACTTGGTCTGCAGCTGGTACGCGATCTTCTCTTTGCAGATGATGTTGCTCTATCAGCACACAGCCTAGAAGACATACAACCTATTCTTGATAAATTTTCTGAAACAGCGAGAACATTTGGACTCACTATCAACATAAAGAAGACTGAGCTAATGTACCAGCCAGTACGTGGCAATCCATCCCTCACAAAACTTTCCGTATTTATTGATGGTACGGCATTTAAAACTGTTGAGACGTTCATTTATCTTGGATCAACAGTCTCTTCTGATGGAAAAAATGAACGGAGAAATCCAATTCAGAATAGCCAAAGCCAGCACAGCATCTTAATAAATAAGTAATCTTAAACATACTTTATGGAATACCAATGATGTGTCTCTCAGAGTAAAGATCGACATATACAGATCAGATCAGACGTTCTTTCTGCCCTTCTCTGTGGTGCTGAAATTTGGATCCTATAAAGCAAGGACATAAACCAACTTGGCGCCTTTCACATGAGAGGGATGAGAGAGTCAAGAATAGTACAATTACTGTAACGACATCACAGGCATTGAAATCATTCTGGCAAAGATACAACTTAGGTGGGCTGATCGTGTTGTAAGAATAGATGAGCATAGGCTTCCAATAAATGTGTTGTATGAACAACTACCAATCTCTAAGCGTTCAGTTGGACGTCCACTCTTACACTACAAAGACAAATTGAAAGACAACTTGAAACGTCTTAACTTTGACCTGAAAACCTGGGAAGCCCAAGTATCAGACCGAAAGGAGTGGCATAAGACATGTTTCATTAGGTTAAAGGGTTTTGAAGACAGTAAGAAGACTGAAGCACCGTGTTCAGCTTTGTCAAGCTCTGAAGCAGAGATGCCATCAAAATCCAGCTAAAACAAATTTCGTCTGTCAATGTGACTTTGCTGTTCGCAGCAAGGCTGGGCTAATATCGCACTTAAGAAAGCACAAATGAAATATATCTTTCCCTTACCTGATTTTCTCCATAAAAGCCCCTGCTAGCATGCATAAGTGTAAAACGAAAGGCACCATCCACTGCTGATCCTCATTTATCGTTCACGACAAGAGAGTCTATTGTTATGTATGTCTATACGTATGTACGTATATGCGTGCCTGTGTCTGCATTATGCAAAACTGATTTTAAATCATTTGACTTCAATTAGGACGAGGTGCATATTATGACTAATAAATATTTACACATTATGAAATGAGTTTCTTAAATGCTTTTTCGGGTTGTCAGACAATGCTAAGCGTTTTGAAGTTAAAATCTTTCCTTAAGATTTACTGGACTGGTTCCTTTGCCTGAAATGAAACTCAGTTTACGGATGACAAAATAGTCAAGGAACTTCTCTAAAGTCTCTAACAACATTTCAGTAAATCAAGTGTAAAAAAATGTTCCATATATATAGATATGATAAACAGCCCAAGTAATTGTACATTTGACAGGCAATAAGCAGTATTTCATTTTGAGCTTAGAGCTATAAGACTGTAGCGAAAGTTTTCATAATTATTGCAAAACTTGGCAAGTAGATATAACATCAATCAAAGGTAACCAATAGCATAAGAGTCATATTGATGAGTGAAACAAAAGCGATTGAAAACATGAAAGAATCTGCAAATATTCTTCTTCATTGTATTATTTCCTTTGTTCTCGAAGACTATGACTTCGAACGAGTGAAGCGTGTTGGTCGAAACAAGAACCATCATTCTTTGAACCTAGTCGACTGGCGCTAGAGAATCTTGAATAAAATCAATTAACATGTAACAGAAACCAAGTGACTTGAAGACATTCAACAGCAGCAACAACTAAAATGGATTTCACACACAAAGAGAGAATAATAACATAATCAAGATATTGATATTCCACACTACTTCAAACAAAGGGCTAGGAAGGAAACTCCGATGAATACTGTAAAGAGTAATAAAAGTTACTGGACTTGAAAAACACTATTTTTCTGAAAAATTCTTTTAAGAGTACGATTTTATGAATTATGACCGAATGTAAAAGTAGTTGCTTAGTCAATAAATTCCGCCTGTTTCCTTATAAGGAAATTGTTAATATTACCATGAGGGTAGGGGTTCAGATACTACACTTTGATCCCATCCTGATAACCAGGAAGTGAATAAAAGGTGACTTGAATAACACTAGCTCCAATATTAATTCGTCTTAATCACAAGAAATATGACACAAGGCCAAGAGGAGATAGAAACAGCTGAATTTCATTTGTTCTGTTATATAATCTAGCTAGACACAATCACTGACTCAAATAGACTATAATTTTTCTTACACCAAAGCTACACATTCTTACTGTTGTGGATTCCGGGGTGAAATCCGGTCTCAAATGAATGACAAACGCAGGGATGAAATATAGCAAATAAATGTATTGACGTAATAATACAATTGGTAATACGGTTAGTAGATCCAGAAATGCGGTTAGTAGCAATAATAATATATATACAATCTGGGAAATTCAGTATCGAAGTATGACTTCCTTCTGAGTCTACTTGCTCGCAACTGTGACTCCTACAAACCGGTTACCTCACACTCTTACTCTCTCACTTCCTCACTGTATCACTGTCACTCTGACTGACTTCCGGGTATTCACCGACAGCAGTACAACTACACACTGAGCGAGTCCACTTGTATTAAAAAGGGGTGGACCCCTTAAAACTTACTTACCACTATTTTTATATGATTGACTGATATGTCCTCAATACTGAAAGAAGAGGTTGGATTGGCAGTAAAGAGCTTAGAACCTGACACTTCACCCGGTGTGGATAATATTCCCTCTGACCTGATAAAAGATGGTGAAAAAAAAACCATCAAAGTCATAACATCAGTATGCCAAAAGATTTGGGAACAAAAAGTTGCCTAACAAGTGGATCCAGTCATTGAAAGGAAGCATCAACCAGTGTCAAAATTATAGGCCAATAAGCCTGATCAGTCATCCTGTTAAAGTCCTGCTCCGTATCATTTTGAATCATTTGAAATCCAAGGCTGAAGAACTGCGGTCAGAGAAACAAGCAGGTTTTAGGACCGGACGAAATACAATGGAACAGATCTTTAATTGTTGGATCTTCGTAGAGAAACATCGGCAACATCAGAAGGATGTGTTCCACAACTTTGTTGATTTCAAGAAAGCATTTGGTCGTGTATGGCATGACGGTCTTTGGCAAATCCTTAGAGAATTCATTGTAGATAACGGAATTATCCAAGTCATCGAAGCCCTATATAAAGTTGTCACCAGCATAGTTCTTCCGGGAAAACAAATGGGAGGATCCTTTCGGACAACTCTCAGCGTGCAACAGAGATGCGTACTTTCACCTACATTGTTCAACTTATTTCTAGGGAGAATCATGCAATAAACCTTGAAAATCCATGATCCTTCAACCACTATAGATGGCAGACCCATCTCTAATCTACTTTTTGCAGATGACATTGACCTCATAACAGGTAGTAACAGTGAGATCCAGGATGTGATCAACAAACTTTTTGAAAGAGCATGAGCCTATGGAATGGGGGTCAGCTCCGAAAAATCCAAAGTATAATGGTTTAATAGTAAAAACACTAACACCTGTGTCAACATTACCATGAATGGGAATTCACTGGAGGAAGTGTCCAGTTTTAAATACTTGGGAATAATCTTGTCTAAAGATGGTATCTGGAACTCGGAAATCCGAACACGTATTGCCGCAGCCATGGCAACGATGGTCAAATTTGCACGAATCTGGAGGAGCAAAATCAGCTTTTAAACGAACTACAGAATGTATAAATTGCTGGTAGTCTACATTCTCCTATATGGAAGGGAAACGTGGACACTGTTGGCAGATACAGAGAGAAGGATCCAAACATTTGAGAACAAATGCATGAGAAAATCCCTTAGCATTTTCTGTTGGGAACAAAAAACAATGGTGTTTTACGGAAAAAGGTTGAATGTTTTATGGGACACTAAGGACCTCTTCTCGCCACTGTCAAATGAACAAAAATGGCGTGGTTTGGACACATTAAAAAATATGACAGCCTATGAAAGGCCATCATGCAAGGCATCGTTGATGGAGGACGTAAGAGAGGCCACCAACGCAAAAAAATTGATTGGACAATGTCAAACAATGGACAGGTATGACTGTACCAGAATTGCTGATGGCTGCCGTTGTTAGACCGTGTGTGAAAAGAGTTAGTGTGGTTTCTGCATTCAAATCTGGCCTACGATTACAAAAGTCAAGGTGTTGTTGATCATCATGATCATGATCATGATATGTTTTCTACGTTTTAACCACCATTTTGCATGTATTTTATTAATGGTTTAGTGATTCAAATCTAATTACTTAACCCATAGCGGGGGAGGAAGCTGTTGGATCATAGTTTCCCAAGGGTATTTGCGTGTAAGGGAATATAACGAACCCAACTGGAATTGGAACTCGGCTCTCCGAGTAACAATTCTGAGTCATTATCCATTACACTACCCCCGCAGCCATGCTTACAACACCTGGTATTCCCACGTGGTCACCCATCTAGGTACTGACTAGGCTCGAGGTTGATTAATTTTAGTGATCGTACTGGAAACGGTTTATAATATACATGTATATTTATAAGATAATGAGACCATGAAAAGTCAGAAGAAAAATATACATAGGAGTAACTGAAGAGCACTGGAAACAAAGAAACTAAGCACACAAAATATCCTTTAAAAATAGTTAATGAGCGAACAACACAATGCTTTCTAAACTTATATGGGAAGTTAAAAGCAGAGCCCAAATCACACAAAAAATAACATGGGAAATAAGTACAACAGCATCAGCCTACAACTACACACCCCAAATCTGTAAGTTCTGTCTGGAGAAAAATACGGTTACTTGTAGCTACTGTATAATGTTGTATCGTGCACCATTTACCAACACATATAAATAGTCAAACTAACCCACAGCACAAATGCCCTGAATATTGCGTTAGAACATGAAACAGACTGTCGCTGCTGCATGGGGACAATTCATTAAAAGTATAATTACACATGAAAATTTAATTTGCTGGTCGTTTAATTTTTATATGTGCTGTTCAAAATGTCCTCGTTCTTTTTCAAAACACATTTCAATTCTGGATCGGAATGAATCATTAATACGTCAGAGAGTTTCCAATAACCCCACAAAGTAATCAAATATCAAAACAAGTTAGATATTTAAAACATCAATGAAATATGTGTGTGTGTGTGTGTGCGCGCGCGCGTGCGTGTGTGTCTTTGTGTGTGTGCGCGTGTGTGTATGATCAAGAAATAATAGAAAGGCGTTAAAATCATATCAATAAAACCAAAATACAAAACCAGATAAACTATAAAGAACGATTACAAATGCTAGAATCCTTAACCACAAAAATAACAAGGAAACCTCATTAAGACTTCATATATATTTAAGATGTAAGAAGAAACATAGAAAATATATTTCGCAAATAATAAACGAATGACAAGGTAGAAAAATATACCAATTGAAGCCGCAATGCTTGAAAAAGAAACTAAGATGACAACTACTGACGCGTGAAAATACGATAGTTGAAAAAAAAAGATCAGTACACCTACTGAAGCGTGAAGACGCGACACTCAAAAAGCAACAAAGAAACACGATATCTCTAAACACAACCCAATCAACCCAGGAAATCATTCTTTGATAACGGCTTACAGTTTATCTGATTTCGAACTGATATTGTCTGTTCAGTAAGTCATGTGTGCATACTCAAAACTTATCTTTTGCGCATTTATTAAAAAAAATATATATATTCCAGAATTTTCATTGATCTTTGCGAATAAAAAAAAATAAACGAAACATTTTTTTAAATTCCAACTTCGCAATTTTTTCTATAAACGTTAGACTAGTTTTTTGTGGTTTTTATTTATTACTTTAATAATTATTCTTTGATGGAAAAATAATTTCCATAATTATGATTTACGCTGTGACATTTTGAAGCATTCAAATCAAATAGCATATAATAATAATAATGATAATGATAATGATTATAATAATGATGATGATGATAATAATAATAATGATGATAATAATAATAATAATAATGATAATAATAATAATGGTAATAATAATAATAATAATAATAATGATAATAATAATAATGATTCCTGGAAATCCATACCTCAAGGAGATACAAAAAATTGTTCTGACAAGTACAGCCCACAACTTACGAAGGGCTTTATCTATGTAATTAATTCTTTTTTTTTTTTTTTTTCAGTGGAAAGTGTCATGATGCCATTTCTAACCTTAGGTCCCTGGGCGGGACCCGGAAAGAAATGTGTAAACGCCAGAAATCAAAGAAAATAATATTAATAATAAAAATAATAATAATAATGATAAAGATAAAAGATGCAAAAAGTCTGTATGAACCAGACATTGATCGTCACTAAAACCATAAAATTAAAAGCAGGGGTCCTAAGGGTCGACAGAAGGCCTTATTATGACAGTACAATAGCAATATCTTCCAACTAATACCTACCTGGGAAAAATCAACAAAGTTGGCTAAAATCCTGCTTTTTTCGCTTATACCATGAATTTGAAAAAACTGTTGACTACATACTATCAAGGTGCCTACTCCTTGCTGAGAAATAATACATTATTAGACATGACAGTCTAGGGCAATGTATTCATTGGCATGTCTGTTTGAAATGTGGTATTGAAGTCCCGGATACCAGGTACAAACACTACCTGAATGATGTCACAAAAGGTGATGGAGTGATTATACTGTGGAATTTTCTAATCCTCACAGACTGGAAAATTGATTCATATCAGCCAAACATAATCATAAAACATTTTTTTAAAGGAACCTGCCAATTAATTGATATGACTTACCCACAGGATTCCAATGTCTATAAAAAAAGAATTTCAAAAGTGTCAAATTGTAAGGACCTGCAAATCGAAGTAACAAAAATGTGAAAACATAAAACTACGCTTATCCGTGTTGCAGTTGGGGTGTTTGGGTAGGATAAAGAATGGTACCGAAATATTATATATGTAGAATTCTTCACCACATCAGCATCTCAGAGCTACAAAAGATTATTTGTACGGAACTGCACATATACGCAAAACCCTCTCCATCTAAATAAAATGTAATTAGGAACTTAATATTACTTTCTGGTCAGGTGATTTCCCACACAATAATTTTAATATGTTCTTAAAAATTCGAAAAGTATTTAATATGGGAGTTTTTTTTTTATATTCATGAGAATAAGTATAAAACAGTTCTGCTCAAATGTAGAGATCAGTTCATTTGAAGAAGAAACAAAGAAACAGAAGAAGAAAGAAAAGGAAAAACAAGAAAAAAAAGAAGAAAAAGAAGAAAAAAAGAAGCAAAAGAAAAAGAAGAGGGAAAACGAAGAAAGAAAAAGAAGAAAAAGAAGAAGAAAAACAAAACAAAAAAAAGAAGAAAAAGAAGAAGAAAAAAGAAGAAGAAGGAAAAAGAAGAAGAAAAAGAAGGAAAAAGAAGAAGAAAAAGAAGAAAAAGAAAAAGAAAAAAAGAAGAAGAAAGAAAAAGAAAAAGAAGAAAAAAGAAGAAGAAGGAAAAAAAGAAGAAGAATGTTCTTGTGGATTAAAGCGTTTGTTTGTGAATTTGGCGACATAGTGATTGTAAGTTCAATCCCTGGGCCGGGTGGTGTCTACTTGAACTTAGTGGAAAAAGGCAAACATTAAATGATCAGTTTATACCAGATTACCATAGTCACGGGCAGTGTTACCACAACAGTCTGCACTCGTAGATTAAATAAAAGCTTCCGTTCAGAATGTCCTCTAGATTGATCTACATCTGAGGAAGGTCGGAGGGAAAAACGAAACGCTGTGCTAACAACAACAAAGATGCGGACAATAGTACGAATATAAATAACGTAAATAACGACTATATTGATTGACAAGCGCTTGGATAGAAATCGCCCTGATTTCACACCTGTGCACACGAGTAGTGATGAATCATGAATGGATCCTTAAAGATATTCCAGTGGCCATGGAATAAGAACAAGGAGGAACAGGCGAAAATAGAAAGATACCAAAATCTGGCAAGACAAATCAGAGAAATAAACCAGCAATATTTTTTCTACGCACGACAGCATGGGAATACCTGATATCATTGTTAGTGTCAAGGTTTCCATCAATGCTTTCTATCACACAAGATGCTTTGGGGATACTTGACGCAGGTAGCTGCACTGCTTGGAACAGCTCATGTGCTGAGGAAATTGTTGTGTCTCTAAGCTTGTATTAAACAATTATAACTTATTGTTTCAAAATAAAAGTATATTTGATATCATCTTGAGGCTAGACTTGTCCAAACACCACTTATAGAGCATTAATAATTTTTCACTGTTTTCCGGTTTTGTAGGTCTACAGCCATATCACATTGAAATACTGGTTCTTACTTGATCAGTGAAGTTAAGCAATGTTGACCTTGTCAGTACCTAGTGTGGTTAGTTTCGATGTGTGTGATATAATGGTTAACGACCATCAATGCTTTCTACCACACAATATTCTTTGGGGATACTTGACTGGAGTAGCAGCACTGCTTGCAACAGCTTATGTGTCGAGGAAACTATGAGTAGGAGCTGCGATATGACCATCATCACCCGGCCTCAAACTTTTAGAATCGGAAAGAATATCAAATTAAATAATAATGCAAAGAAAATATTTATGAACAGCAAAAGATAGATTTAACAAAAGAACGAGAGAACATTGGCAAGACTGTTTATAATTCTGACGCATCACGTGACCACTTCAGATAGACAGGAACCGTGTGAAGATAAGAATCAATTTTCCATGAGGATTATCAGTTTACAAACTTCACTTATTTATTTAATGATCTTCCGCGCATCAATATGGAAATCCGTGTAATAATATTTCGGTTCCTTTTTTAAATAGGATTACTGACATATCACGTCGGAATATCGGTTCCCCGTACGATCATCGGAGTTAAGCAACGCGAACCTGGTCATTACCTAGATGGGTGACAAATTGTGAATATCAGGTGCTGTGATCATGGCTCAGAATTGGTAATTGGATTCGATATATTCATTACTCGTCCTGGGTATGACGTTAAACGACACCCGACATTCTGATCGGGGAGATCGGAAGATGAGCGTGCAACCACCATTTAATTACTAATCCTGGGTATGACGATAAACTACATCCGGCAGCAAGGCCTCTGATCGGGAGTTTGGTATTGTGGATGAGCGTGCAATCACCACTTAATTACTAATCCTGGATATGACGATAAACTACGTCCGGCAGCAAGGCCTCTGATCTGGAGACTGGAGCTTTTGATGAGCGTAGAACTATCTCTTAATTGATTGTCCTGAGTGTGAGGATAAATAACATCCGGCAGCAAGGCCTCTGATCGGGAAATTGGAGCTTTTGATGTGCGTGCAAACACTTCTTAATTTATGTTGTTCCCAGGTCCATCCTGACCCGAGGCGCTGGCATCTGTTAGGGTCCCACCTATGTGCAAATTGCGAACTCCAAAACAAAAATGAACAGTACGTTTTATAATAAAATTATTTATTGCAAAATGGCAACCAATGCAACTCTAAAAAATATA